TGTCAAATATTTCATGAAAAGATTAATGACTTATTCATTGGTCAACAAGTCTTCTTCTTGAGAGTTGATTCATATTTTGGCAATAGTAAGCTTGAATTATAAGTTTTATCAGCATTAGAGATAAAAGTTCTTATTATGATGTAGAAATCAAAATATATCTCCAAAATGATCTTTAAAAACTGTGTAATAAGTATCTTTACATAACTTCTCTTCATCTCAAGATTTGAACTTTCCCTTGAAAAAGACTAAAATTTTCATAGATGTAAAGTTAGCACATTGTGTAATGTCAAGCACCTTCTCAAAATATATTTTGATTAATAGAAAACGTTTTCACTATAAATTTTCCTACAATTAGTGCATTACCTAGGCTACTGTTGCAAGCAGCTAAAATATTTGAGACACAAATAAAATTAACTTAAAAATATTAAGCATTGCTACTTTTTCTTCAAGTAATATTTTAATTGAGGGATAACAAACACTTAGAAGAGAACACAAATCATGACTACACAACTTGATGAGTTGTCATGAAAACACATACCAGGACAAGAAATAGATTTTCCCAGCATCTGAATTGCTCTGCCAATGTCCCTTAGTAGTTAATAACATTAAAGTAACCACTTTCTTGACTTCTATCAGCATCAATAAGGTGGACATATTTTTTTAATTTTATAAACATGCCACCTTGTTAGTAACTAAGTAGTCTATATAAATATTTGTTAATAATTCTTATACTGCAGTGAATCCTGTTATCCACAATTCCTAAAATTACTATATGACTCTTGTATGCTTTGTGGTTCTATCTTTTCTATTCTCGCATCCATTTAGATAAAAATAAATAATTGAATCAGTATTTTCTAGTTACTATTTGAACAATATAATTTTCTTCTATTCATTTTTCTCCTTTACAGACAGTAATTATAAAGAAAGAGAGAGCACCAGTTAAAAACTGTGGCTTTAGAATCAGGAAGACCAGGTTTCAGATCCCAATCTGGCCTCTTATTATCTGCATGACTCTAAAACAATTATTCTATCTTTTGGAACTTCACTAAAATGTGGATAATGTTTCCTTTTACCTAACTTGTTAGTTCTTGTACATAATATAAATAAGTAAAATAAATACTGAGCATCTCTCTTTGGGTAGGTGTTCTCTCATTTATAGTCTAATTTAAAAAGAGACACTATCCTTTGCTATGTTCTCCAAGAAAGAGACCTGAGATAAGAATTTGACTTAAACATTTTATTTGGTAGATGATGCTGGGAAACATTGATGGGAAGGAATATAAGACAGGGAAGAAAAGGAATTCAATACAAGGTATGTAAATAAGCAGGTTACTTAATGTAGGTACATGGGCTCCGTAAGACTGAGGATTTTATGGATAATGTTAGGGGATGCAGATTTACATTTTCCCACCATGAGTTGAGACAATTTGAGTATTTTTCTTCCAACTCCCACTCATGGAATGTAAATGACTTAATTCCTGGTCATTTCTGGACTTCTTTACCTGATAGCTGAAGGAAGTTCTCAAGCAGAGTCATAACTTCCAAAAGATACTATAGTAATTGTGAGTACCCAAGGAATATGGGAGGGGTACCGACAACATCTGGTATTTTCTACCACTTGAAAGATCCAAATGTATATACTACGTAACTCTAGATTTTTATGGACATTTTAAATTAGTCGTCAGTTAAAATGTTTTTTATAAAAAAAGACAACTTGCAACGAGTGTTTAGACAAATCTAAAATGAGAGCCATTCTGTTAATCGAACAAAATACAAACCTACTGCTATAGTTGATCCTGAAGGCATAATTGATAACCATCATCTCTCTATTCCACTTTTTATGATAGATTTTCCATTCCCATGAATGGAACGTCTGCTTGTTTTTGCATAGGCAAATATCCTACAACTTTATCCCCGAGGAGACTATCCTCGTTTCTACGCCCTTTTTAGTACTTTCAAGCTACACTACCTATTGATAATCACCAGATGTTGGAAACAGCAAGAAGTCTTTCACTGACCTTTTTGGTTTCAGACATTATCCTCCCAACACCATTACATGATAGCAACCATATCTCCTCATGACCATCTGGATCAGTAATTCTGCAACTAGAGTCACTCCTTTCTCTAATTTCTAGTCTATATGCCTGGTGAGCCATAGATGATCAAGTAGTAGCCATAGTTTTAGGCACTGTACCTTACCCTTGGAAATGACACCTTATTACCCATGGAGATTAATTGCGAAAAATAAATGCGTTTCTGGAAGTGATAATGATAAAAGCTACTCCTATTTCTACCTGTTGGCTTCTGAGTGCTGTGGTTTAGTTATCAAAGTCACAAGGCTTTGTGGTTACTGTACTTCAGATACCTAATATATTGAAGGACAGCCCTCAACTCCATAAAATGTCATCCTTGAGTTAGTTCCTTAGCTGTATTACTTAAGACATTCCAAAAAATAGCCCTCTTAAAACCTTTTTATTGAGATGCTTCAGTTTCACCTGGTTTGTGGACAGTTAACAGCAAGTATTAAGTCCCACTTTGTTGGACTGCAAGTGTGTTCCTAGTGTGTTTGCCTGGAAAGCATTGACAATCTAAATAAAATATCAATGGTAACATCACTGAGAATGGAATAAATTGACACCATATGCCTTTCGTGTGATGCACTAAAGGCAAAATACATGTAATATGTACTTCAAAAATGCATAATCTCAATTTAATTATGAGAAATCTTTAGACAAATCTAAAATGAAAGCCATTCTGTTAAACAAAACCTTCTAATGTGTCATTTTATAAAATTTAGAGAAATTCGGAAAAACTGTTTTGGTTTTAAAAAGATTAAAGGTGATAACCAAGTATAATTTACAATCTTGGATGGGGAAATTGAAAGAATTAGCTATGAATTTCCCCAATATAGTTGCAGAAAACGTATATCTGAGATAGATCATGGGAAATAGATGATACACATGAGTGAATGTATGATGTCACTTCTGAGTTATTTCTGAGTTGTTTTTCATTCACTTTTTTTCTGTCTAATTTCAGTTGTCCTAAATATTTGCACCTTTCTCACCCTGGAAGAGCTTTATGACACTGTCTCGGATCTGTTTTGTCTTCACCCCATAAACAATGGGGTTCACAGTTGGAGGAAGAAGAAGATAAAGATTAGCCACAATGATGTGAAGAGAAGGAGGAATAATGTGTCCTCCAAAACGATGGGTAAAGAAAGTGAAGAATGCTGGAATGTAAGTGATGATGATGGCAGATATATGGGCAGTGCAGGTGCTAAAGGCCTTCTGCTGAGCATCTGCTGACGAGAGGCTGACCACTGCCCGGAGGATCATAGTATAAGACACGGATATGCAGCAGATGTCAAACACTCCAATCAAAAGGGCAACCATCAGACCATAGATGACATTGACCTTGATGCTGGCACAGGATAACTTCACCACTGACATGTGGTCACAATATGTATGGGAGATAATATTGCTTTTGCAGAAGGGCAAACGCTTGACCAAGAATGGAAAAGGAATCATCAGCAACACACCCCTCAAGAAGGTGACAAGTCCAGCTTTGGCAATGATAGGGTTAGTGAGTATGGTAGCATAACGCAGTGGGTAACAAATGGCCACATAGCGGTCCAGAGCCATGAGCATGAGCACACCAGACTCCACACCTGTAAACCCATGGACAAAGAACATCTGGATTAAGCAAGCATTGAAGTTAATTTCCTTGAGATTAAACCAGAAGATACAGAGTGCATTGGGTAGAGTGGTGGTGCAGGTAAAGAGGTCAATGAGGGAGAGCATGGCCAGAAAGAAATACATTGGACGATGTAAGGACTCCTTATGATGAATGAGGTACACGAGGCCAAGATTTCCCACAAGAGAGATGATATACATTGTGCAGAATGGAAGGGAGATCCATACATGTGCTTTTTCTAGACCAGGAATTCCATTAAGAATAAAAGATTTGGGGGCCACATATGAACTGTTGGAAACCAGCATAACTAATTCAATAGATGAACTTATTCTCCCAGAAGTCTCTATATTGAGGAGAAGAAATTAAGAAATAGAAATTTAATTCAGATTGTCTTTGAGAATGCAAACATAAATTTGGAATAAAATTACATTAGTAATAGTATCAATAATTTTGAATAATAGTGACAATGAAATACATAATTTATTGATAATACTATATTACAGGTAATATTTTTAAAGTTTATTAAGCTATCCAAATGTAATTTTAAAACAATAATTAAAAAGTTGTAATTAATTTTTGTCATCAAACAGAAAAAGAGACTGAGGCACAGAGAGATCCAACAATGTTGATTGTTACAAAACTAGATTCAGCGACAAAAGTGATATTTATATATGACTCTAACATTCATACAATCTTTTTACATTCTGGTTTGATAGAGTACATAGCATATGATAGCAAGTTATAACTGCATGAAGGATGGTCTGGAATTTGTTTATTAAATTAATTTTGTGTGTCGATATGTAATGAGAAGATTATGGTCATTTATATCAAATAAGAGCGTATTCAAATTTCAGCTCTTTTCATACCATTGTATGACTTGCTGAAAGATATATTTCATCCTCGAAGCCTCAGTTTCTCATCTATAATGCGAGGCTAATGACAGCCACCTGAAAGAGTTCTAAAAAATAATAAGTTTAGTTTACACTTATGTCTGTATCCTGGTGGATTGTATATATTAAATCATAATGCAAGTGTAGACACTGTATGAATGTGAGTTGCAAAAACAATGGCCATGAAGGTCAATCTAACTTGATTGTACCATGAAAAAGAAAAAAAAAAAAATCTCTCTTTTTCAAATACCGTGTAATCCCCCAAAGTCATTGAGATTATCTATTTCCTTTTCATGTCCCCTGTCATTACACAATTCAAGAGAATCATATTCTCTAGACTTTCCCTTTATTCTCTCTTGAAAGTATGTTCACTCTCATTACCTCATGCATAGCCAATGTGAAGATAATTTTCAGATAATTAATTTTATAAAAAAGCTATTTCACAATTGTTGACTCCTCCTTCTAAATGCATACCGGATGTTTCTATGTTAAATTTCCATAGACAGTTTAAATTCACCATGTCCAAGACTAAACTCATCACTTCAACTTCTCTCATGCCAAAATAGGCTCCATTTCTGAGTTTAACTCCAATTCTCTTAAAACATTTCCTCATTCATCATTCCTCCATTTCTGAGGATAATAGGGCAATCATCTACAACACGATCTACCAGTACCTTTTCAGGCATTCCTTTACCTTATCGTAGGTATAATTTCTTTGTAGCTCAAAGTGTCTTAGTTCTTACTCTGTCCAGGTTTCCTCAGCATGTGTATTATCTGTACTTTATCCTCAAACAAGAAAAACTCCTATTTTTAATTCAGAAATATTTCTAATATCAGATCTTTTTTCTGTCATCACTCAATTATCTTTTAAAGACCAGCTAGCTACATTCATCTATTTCTTTGCCTCTTTTCAAAATCAAAATTGTCTTACAGTATAATTTCAAAGACATTTAAATCCACTGCTTAATAATCTCCAGTGTCTTTCCATAAATTTGAGGCTAGGGCTCAAATTTCTTGGCATGGCATTCAACAAAGTAAAATGTAGGTCTTACCTAAATTTTTACCATTTTATTTCTTTCCATATCCTAAACACCCCAAAGTGTCCTGGTTTGGACGATAAACTGTATGATCACTGTATTCTAGCATTTCATGCTTAAAATTTGCTGCATTACTTGCCAATCCCAAAATACTATAGATGCTTCAACCATGTTGCCTTTGCTTAATTTCTTTTCCTCATTGGAAAATCATTCTGCCATATATTCATCTTGATAAGTCTTCTTTGAACACTGAGCCAGAATGTCACTTCATTTAAAGAGGACTGTGTATTCCAGAGTTCAGAGTCAGCTACTGTCACTAAATTTCCTGGCCCAGGTACAGGATGTTCAATTTGCTTGCCCAAAGCCTTTAATGATTAACTCAGAGTGGAACCCAGGTTTTTCTAGCTCAAATTTCACATCTGTTTAACTAACCAAATCCTTTATAAAGAATAACAAGCAGTGACTCAGTCTTTTATTTTCTCGTTTGTTTGTTTTTGTTTATTTATTTGCTTGTTTGTTTTCATTGGAGGAATATGAGGTTTCATGTTTCTAATTTGAGACCTCTACATCTCCTGCTTCTTATAATTTTCCTAGTCCAGTATTTCAGCCACTTCCAGATAAAGAATAAGAGGGTTGTATGGGATGATTTATACATTCTCTTCCAAAGGGGAAGGTAATTTGGTTACGAGTATGAGCCAGACGTACCCCAAACCTCCCTCACTTCCTTGTTTTTACCTGTGGTTCTGGGGAAGGAGACAGAATATGGAAATGTATTGGAAGTACAATAACGACAAAAGCACAGGAAAAGAAGTCCACCTCTAGGTCTTCTTTTAGTTTTGCACTGAGCCTGAGTGAAAGAAACAGAGCAGCACACTGTACTACAAAAAGCATATCACATCAATATATGCTACAACCATACCGCCTTATATCAATCACAATTTCTCTTTCCTCCTTAATGACAATAGGTTCCATTACCTGATAGTAGTATCCGAGCCTCCAGGATCTAGTGAAAAGTGCAGTGAGTGATGCTGTCACTGCTGCTTCTGCTGTTTCTTCATCCCGCGCTGGGCAGCCATTTGACACAAAGTGTGTGCAGTACCCATTGTTGCCTCGGGCTATTTAAAACAGAAAACAGGCTTCTTTAGATTGTCACTTGATCCTAGTGCCCAGAAAAATCAGAGTGAATCAGATATTGCTTAAGACCCAGGAAGACCGAAGAGGCTTGTTTCTTTTACTTCATCCTTAATTTCATGGTATGTTTCTCTAAAGATGGTCTATGACAACATTTTAAAAGCGGAATTCAGGGTCGAAGACACAGAATAAAATCCTATTAGTCATCTGAAGAATCCTCTCCCTCATCCTCTGGAGAAGGAGGTCAAGAAAAAGCTGGATTCAGAAAAGAGAATTCTAGATTCTCTGAGACTCTATCATCTTTTCTTTGTTACTGTTGTTCTGAAATGGTCTTTTTGAAATGTCAAATTCAAATTTTTAGTGACACATAGTGTTACCACTTAGCCTGAATATTTCAAGCGTATAGACTAAATATAGTTAAACAATTCTATTTGTTACCTTTTTTTTTTGAGTTTCATTAAGTAAACACTCTGTGCCAGGCAATAAACCCTTTGGCATGTAGCACAAGGCCTTTCTATGCCTCTACTCTACTTATTTTAGGTTTATCTTGTGCAAAAATAGCCAACTTGAATATCAACTCAAATATTTATCCGTATACCTAGAGAAAAAATAGTAGCAATAGTTTTTGGTGGTCTATATTTACCTATTTAAATATATTTACCTATTTATTATTTAAATTGATTTACAAAGTTAATTACATTCCTATGATGCTACTAATTTAATACTATCATAACCTTTTTTATCTAATCAAGATTCAGTATATTTGATAGCTTGCCGAAAGATACAGAATTCCGTGCTCTCTACACTAAATACTAATGAAACACATCCTCTTCTCTCTTCAGCCAAACCAGGTTTTCTACTTGAAAGTCCCTTTCTGCTACCCTCATATTTTCTCCATTTTCATGATGACGATAACTTGGGGACCTGTGCTAGAACTATTTGTATATTTATCATAACCCTTTACTAACCTGTGAGATGTTTTAGTATATAAGCCAAATCTGCCACTTATTTTACCCCATGAATGAAGACCGTACCTGGATTAAAAAAGAAGTAAATTGGAGTTAAAATGGTTAACTTCAAGTTGTGTGCCTGAATTGAAGAAAGGAAAGTGAGTGGGGGAAGGGTGGCTAGTTACTTGGAGGTAAAAGGAAGTACTGATTTATCTTTTCTTGATTTGAAGGGTTGAGTTTATTATTGTCTAATTCTCTGTTGCGGTCATTATACAATATATTCGTAAAACTGAATAAATGTAAAGAGAATTTTCTATACTCTAAAGAAGATTTTGAGAGCATCTAGCTTTTCCCACAAAAGAGCACACATATCTTGCTGGCACTATCTTGATTTTGAATGTAGAATGAACATATTCTTCCTAATCACCAACGACATTCTCTATAAGGCAATGCCCTTGATTTCTGTGATGACACAGGCAGACTGGAATAAGATTAGGCTTTATCACACAATAAGCCTAGGATCAAAATGTCTGAACATCATTACCATACCCAAAAGGTAGCTCCAAAAAAGAAGGAACGTGAAAGGTGCTCATGCCAGGAATAGGGTCCAAGAATGTTTATAATGGCAGCATACTGATTTCATTTTATAAACCTTAAATCATAAGTGCTCACTCTAGCTGACTTCCCACAGGAAACAGGCATATAATCTCATATTCTCAGGACTCCCAAGTCTCAACGTAAAACAGGGCATAAGAGCTCTCAGGGACCACAGAGCCCTAAAGGGAAAGCATCATACAAAGCTTCATATTTTGGGAAAAAAATTAAATCTCCAATCATAGCTGGCCCCCAAACGATGGCAGTCTAGAAAGTAATTCTCATTTTAGGCAATTAAAAACAAAGCAAAATGCATATGTGTGTGTAATTTTATAAAAGTGTTTATTTCTTAATATACATATGATGTATTATTGAATTATTATTGTATTATTGTTACAGTCTTATAGAGATTAAAATGGTTTAGTACCCATAGAAGTCTGTAGACGATAACAAACTGTAATTCACACAACAGTTAGATGGAAGAGAAGTATTCAAGTTCAGGTGTATCATTCTGCAAAGATTGTTATTCACAACTGCATTGCACTGACTATTACACAACAGCATTCTGCCTCCTGTATGCTATAACTAATTCTAAACCCTGTCAACCCTATAAGTCATGGCCTTAGGAATCTCATATATCAGGAAACTTTTGACAAACAGAATCTCAGGAGAATCTCTTGGTAATTTGACACACCTCAGGCAC